CTGATGATCGATCTCAGAATTCTGTTTAAACATATCAATCAATGGCAATGACTGTTGAAAAGGCTAGCATGGATGACAAGTGCAAAGTAACTGATTGAGTCGAGAGTATCAATTACACAATCTACCTGCACAATATTCAACTATTATCGACATGATTGGAGTATTGAACATCAAGTTTGATATGCGGTGTCATGGAATCATCTGGTTGTCCATATGATTGTCAATCACCAAACGTGTAGTTGTCAATGTTCAGATCCAATATAAAACAGATGACCATTGGTGATGAGATTGTCATGCAGTATTGATTTACAAGTGCTGACACCAAATCACAATGCATTTGACAAACACACCTAACGAATATTACCGTATAATTGGTTTCAATCAACATCTACGGCCATACACACAAGAAAATACCGGATCCCGTTCGATCTCCGAAGTCAAGCTTGTGATGGCTCAGTCAGTACTGTGGTGGGGGACCACACGGGAATACTGAGTGCTGTAGTTTTTGCTAAATTAACAATCTGATCTCGTTTTGGTATTCTGGATCAAATCTCAACTTGAATCTTGATGATGGTTGTGTTGAAACTGGAAAGCAAGATTTTCATCTGATAAACTATTTGACAGTATCTTAATATGGCGTGTATACTGTGTTCACTACATGATGGTTCATTCCATTTGTCTTGCAAACACTAAATACTACCATAACAGCAGCATAGTATACACTGTATTACCTTCAAGCTATCGACTTTTTCAAGTATACTACATTAATCAACTGTGTATCAGCTATGAACCAAAGTGACCAAAGTTGATAGCAAAGCGTCGGATAATAAAAACCAAAGCATAAATGAATGTATGATGATGGACAACTTTCACTGGCATCGAGACTAGCCATTTATTATGTATTTTAGCTTATTCATTACTCCATTTTACGTGAATACGGCTGTGGATTGAGTTTATAATCACTTTTATAGTAGTGGGATTGGATATGCCACATGCTAGTCCAGATAAAACAACCGAGAAATACAGCCAATGATCAGTATAGCAGCTATTACTTGATAATCGAGTGCATCGTAAGCTCAAACATGCACTGAGTGATTTGTGTTTAATGATTCATTGACAAATCTTTGAGCAATAATGAATTATTCTAGTATTAGATTCATAGTCCGACTAATATTGGATATACTGATATATCAAGACCGATACTACACTGATCAAATGTTCAATGAGTAACAAGTGCTTGCAAGTGATATTACAATCAGAAAGTGAGCATAACAACAATACTAGTATGGAATTGGCAAGGTGGTGATTGGATAAACGAGCAAGCATATGTGATTGACGCTTTTAAACTGACAATTGTATAACATGGACTAAAAACTAGGACGGTTTGGTCGTTTCAAACAAATGAAATCCGACTTTAGCTCAGTTGGTAGCAGCAACAGACTGTAGTATAACAACTATCTGTGGGTCCTCGGTTCGACTCCGAGAAGTCGGATTTTTGCTTTTTGCTGTTGATATCAATTGAAACCTTGTTTTAACTCTAAGCCAATACTTTTGTCAAGTACATGCACAGTTGACTGTCGGACTGTATTCCCTATATATAATCTGTCGAGTATTCGGTACTATTTTGGAGTTTAGATCCTTGTGACTAGTCATTATTGTCGTAAAACTGCATGTGTATTAATCAATCGGCTATTGATATTTATAGCCGTATTGATACAACACTTTTGTATCTTGCAACGACTTTGTTTTGGTTTAGAATATACAATGGTTACATATTCGTTGTGCTTGTTGGTATTTTCAATTTTTTCAAGCATGATGTCCATCGTATGATGCAAACTATGGTTTGAGCTGAAATTGCCTTTATTTGGCATAACCACACATTGTGCAACCACCAAGCTTGAGCCCAGATTCATGTATTGCATTTGGTTGTTTTAATGTTATCAAAACAACTATACACATGATGTATTTTAAACTATCACAGATACATTCGCGTTTGGTTCAAGAGAACGATTGCACATCTTGGGAATGCAACTGTTGTTTGCATGCCAATCACCACCAACAATACCGCTGAGCTTTGTCACCCAGTCCATGACACAATGTTGTCCAGCCAGTGTGATATGAATTGGCACCATCAAACATGAGACCGGCAGTTTATTATGCACATTGACATCTTTATTTAGCGATCCATTTTACGTGAGTATGGCTGTAAAATTGTAATCAAGTACTGTTAATAGTTTTACTTCCGGATATGCATCACCAGCTATAAACGAGGTTGTGGATGCAATATACTCAGTCTTTACTACTAAATTCGCTATACGATGTAGTGTTGTGAGCATCCAGTATTACCATTGTAATGATTGTGCTTTGGATTGAACTGCTCAAACTTTCAAGACTCATTTTATTAGCCAAGATATATAATGGA